AACATACATATTTATTTCATCAACTATAAATTGCAACTTAAAATAAAAATAAACATTTAAGCCAATTGCAGTTTGTATCTTGATTTCATATGGTTGTGTTGTTTATACATATTTTTGTTGGCATATGTTTAAGCTATGTGATGAGCTGTAAATAAAAAAGTACTTAAGACTTGCTAATCAGTTTATTGTCCTTATTCGTCCCCCACGTCTAAGTTTCGCAAGATAGCTTGCCTAGCCAGGTCCTTGTTTGGTTTATTGAAGCTTGTTGCTAATGGTCCTAAGGTTAGGTTTTGATATTTGTGGTGTGCACAGCACAGATAGCCCATTGTGTAGCATTGTTTTGACAACAAACAAATAAATAAACAAATTCTAAGGTTAGAAGGGTGCCACACAATATACTGATATTCTTGTGAGGTATATGCTTCATGGATTTGGGGTGGTTAGCTATTCACTTTTTAAAATGTAAATAAAATTACAATTTCTTTCTCCCGCTTTCTTTAGTTTATCTTTTGTGTTTTTACGCTTGAGCTACATTGTGTTGCTCCAGACTGTTTTCGTGACATATCACTTAATTAGTTCATTACAGATTTATAAGTAAGTTAACTTAAAACATTGCTTATTTTGAGTAAAATAATATATGATACTCAACTTTCTACTTATAAAGTTTGGTATTATGGGATATCTAACACTGTGCCCCCATTGGTTCAGCGGTAAGTCTGAAGGCTTACAACGCTAAAAACAATTTTCGATACTCATGGTTGGCTCAGCAACAACAAACAAACAAACGAGCGAAATCTAATACTGTAATTATAAGACTGATATTGGATATTGTATGCCACATGTGGGATGTGACATGGCTTGTAACATTATTTGTTCGTTGAAAATAAACAAAAAAGCAATGGTCAGTAATTTCATTGATTTCTATAATATGTGGTACAAATGATCATATGACTTCTAGCAGTGCTAAAGTGTGGGAAGATATAAGAAAAACTACTTATTAAATTTGAAATTGTTCGATATTATATTTATGATATTAAACGTATGTGTTACCAACAGAAACAAAACTTCCAAAAGTGTTTATACATATCTATAAGTGTGCACATGTTTAGGTATACAAAGAGTTATTTGTAATTTATTTGAATAACTTGCATTGATAACGTGTTTAGCACCTATATATCTGATTCACTACAAATTTTCGAGCATTCAACGGTGCAATTCCACCATGATAGCCTTATGGATGAAGGTGTTTGAAAAGGCTTTTCTGAAGATAAATATTTTTACATTAAAACTGCTAAATGATTAGAGTAAAAGGACATGACATTTCAAATTGATTCTTCAGTGTTCTCCATGGAAGCAGAAACAATTCACATAGCAGATCATCGAGGACAGCAATTTGTTTTGAAAACATATCAATTCAGTGTGATGTCCTTATCTACAAAGTGAATACTACAGTTATAATAGAGAACCATCTGATCAAAAAATCCACAAGTTCCCAGTAACACCTTTATTTTAACAGCTGTTTTCATGAGAAATATAGCCAAAGAAACTGGAATCACAACAATCCAATTTGATCACGTACCTAAGAAGTCCCTCGAGGCAGCATCAATAGACTTTTGTACCTTTGATCTGCTTAAACGTGATCTTAAAAGTCAAGGTTCACAATCGGTGATCGGGTTGAGGTGGAACGTCCATCCCTTTGTTAACTGAAAATAAAACTGAAACTATGACTGTCAAATGCCTGATTGTAAGAATATCCATCTGTTAGTAGATTCAGAAGTTCTGCTTGTTATTTTATTTTACAACTCAAGTTTTGTGTAAAATAAAGAGTAAGTGGGAAAATGTCCAGATGGGTGATAAAAAGACTGTGAAAAATTGTCAAGATGTATGATTTGATATTAACCTTCACAGAAGTTTGTTAGGATAAAAATTACTGTATTGAGCACTAGTGTCTGGTCATGGCAATCAAACTGAGTGTGAATAATAATGGAGGAAGTAATCTAAAGGCTCCTGGAACATCATTCTTATAACGTGATTAATTCTTAGTATCTGGGAAATATAAATATTAGAAGTTAAAACGAATAAAAACTGAATTTATAACTGGGTAATATGACGGATACATTATTTACAAGTAAATTATAATAAAACGGGATCAATCATTAAAGCAAAATGAAAATATATAAAAGTGGTATTCAGAAGACAAACAAATGTTATATTGAAAAATGTAATATGTTCAATGCATAAAATAATTTTCATTGTGCTTATAACTTGTTGTTAGTCAATTTATTATTTTATTAGCAAAATGTGCTTATGTGCACAAGTATATATATATGTACATCAATCAACTCACTGCCTTGATGATTTTAGAAGGATGAAAATTGGACCTCTATGATTCCACTAAATGATTAGTTTGTTTGTGATAGATTAAAGGGAAAGCAACTAGTTATTTCCATCAATCACCAAATTTTGGGCTTCTCTTTATCAACAAATAGTGGGATATCGTCACATTATAATGGCACCATGACTGAAAGAGCAAGTATATTTAATGTCCGCTTTAACTAAATGAAGACACAAACAATTCTGAAGGATCGTTAGCTTTGTTAAAACTATATTACGAGACTAACCTCTACAACAATTTCTTAGTTAAAACTATATTACGAGACTAACCTCTACAACAACTTCTTAGTTAAAACTATATTACGAGACTAACCTCTACAACAACTTCCTGGAATGCTACCTCGCTCATACCAGTAGACAAGCCCCATAAATAGAAAATAGAAACTAGAGTTTCTGATTTCTCAGTCTTTGTACTCACTATACTGGAAAATCATATGTTACCCACTAATTATCCAGCAAGCTTGCCTGGTGTGAAATTAATTAAGTCATAGGCTTGACAACAAGCCAAAAAAATGTACAAAAGTTTGCAAATATGCATCAGTGAAGATATATATTCATATACTAAGTTACAGAGAGAATTAGTTTATACCTTATCCATATCACATGATATAAGGAACTAGGGGTGGTCTGACACTGTTAGTTATTACTAAGTCATTTAGTGACAGGCACACGTTCTTCTGGTGCGAGTAGGATCATGTTGGCGTGAGATAGGTTACATTGACAGAATTTATGGTCTAGTGATAATATTAATTTGTAATTTTACAAACGTGTATTATTGAGTTATATAAATATACTCCATTTTTGTTTTTGCATTTTAAACTGATTCATTCTGAAATTTTTATATTAGAAACTTGAATTTCATGGCATTTTTGATTGCTAAATATCAATGTAACTGTTATATTGTAGTGCATAAGTTTTCCACATTTCCTACTCCCTTTGGTAATGTATATAATTTTTCAACATTTCTGCACATATTGTACATAATATAGAAAGCCCATCAAGGGGGCCACTAACTCTTTTCGCCTTAGTTACTCATATAACTGGGACATTCAATTAGGGTTTGACATGTGCTTTCTCGTGGGAAAGATTTCTGTAACATAGCACTTTTTGTATAGAAAGCAACAATAATATTTTCACTGAAAAGTCACGTGATGCCACAGGGATGCAACATCCTTTGTTTTGTAATAGAGTGTCCATCTGGCACGTGGGTGGTGCCTGCACCCTGAAAATAATGACATTGTTGTTCTTCCTATACAATGCCATGTTTTCTCATTTTGAAACAAGATGAATGAGAAGAAGATTATTCTGATTACTGCTAATATTGTTTCGCTTTAAGAATACATTTCAGTAAAGGTTCCAAAATACACTTATTGTTCATCAGTGTTGGAAATATAGATTGTTTCATTGTATTATGCATTGTGCTCAGTCTCTTTTAGTTGCTTCAGACTCATTTGAGGTTATGAAAATTCAGTTTTTGTTGTATACACTTTTCTAGTGAACCTAAGTTATTCTGTGGCTGTTACCAATTACTCACAGGGAAACCAGTGAACATGAGAATACCATGATATGTAAAAGTAATAGCTACAATAACTTCCAACGTTCATGAAGAAACAAGTATAAAACTATACGTAATACAACGTCACTGTAACAGTAGAAATTGATTAATAGCTGTTAATTTCACCCTTCCATTCCTAGTATAGAAAATATCTATAGTAAGATATGTTGAGGTTTTTTTCTTCTAAATTTTCATTGGGTGTCTATCATATACGATAAAATTTGTATAAAACTAGATGTCAAAATATCGCAAAGACATATTAATCTTTTTGTATCGGTAAATGTTACATATTGTAACATTATTTATGAGCTCAATATAATAACGAAACATTGAGCTTATAAAAATGCATTATGGGCTATAGGTCATTATTTTATTTATATTAAAAGAAACGAAGTGTGATTAAAATTCAGTGGTTACTAGATCCTTATTAAGATTAATGTTTTGTTCACTTTCACTATGGATTGCAAAGTATTTAATTGTTTCTTTTAAAATGTGGAGCTGGGCGAGGCCTTGTGTTTAGTCTGCCTTGTCATGCATTATAGGGTCCAGGGTTCGAGCCATGATGTGCCATTGAACACGCTCTTCACTATCATCTGTGGAAACATTACTGTTGCACCAGTTAATTTTGCTATTCGGTTTAGAGTAATCATCTAGGCAGAATGTGCTGTCGACTGACCTCCCTATTTCTAATTAGCAATGGTTAGGGATGGTTGTTCTGAACCTTAGGGTATCTGAAATTGCCGTTTAGTCCATCTGTCGCATAAATGCAGGTCACACTGAAAATACTAAGTACTTTCAAAATATCAATCCATGTTGACTGATATACAACTTGCAATAATATTGGTGATCACGATAAAAAAATTACATTTGATGTAAAGCTGGTGTTTTATGATTAAAATTGAGCTTCAGTTTATCAAAAAATAATATTTTAATAATTCTACAAGTATTAAATATAACGAATGTTTTAAAATTATTGTTTAAATTTTAATATTGAATACTTTTTATTTTATTTACGTGAAGCGGATGTTCGTCACCAGAATGCGTAAGCTACAGACGGAAGCGCAAATCTATGTGAGTTACAATATAACGCCCTTGTATATTGTCAATAGCATTACTTTTGTAAGAAAAAAAAAGGTATTATTGAAACCTATAGTTATAGCAATAGATTAATAATAGAAATAACAGATTTATATTTGTTATCCTAAGCGATGTCAAGGGAGTATGACCATTTATTTAAACTTCTTATAATCGGGGATAGTGGTAAGTTTTCTTTTAGTTTTGTTAATTAGTGTTTTGTAAAATACCTGTATTATTATATGTATCATATGTAATTTTCGTAAACTTAAGAAAGTATAGTATAACTTAATCATTATTGTTCTCCGGGCCCTACTTAAAATTCTACAATTTAAATTTTTATTGTGACTTGTAGTTGTAAGTCAAAAGTAGCCTCACAACTTATAAAATTACACATCGTCTAGGTAATGAATCATTGAATGTGATTGTTAATGTTGGGGTCTAATCTTGCTAGTTAGTTTGTAAACTGTGTAGTTATTAATAATAATAGAACTACTAATAGTAATAGTAACAGGTGGTCCTCCTTGTTCTAATCAACCTAAAGCAGTGGTGTTGTGAAGGGGAGGGGTTGAGGCACCTCATTCCCAATCAAATTCACCACATATTAAAATTCCACTGCTAAAAGTAATTCTGTAAAAGTCTGGACCTTTAGGATTTTAAAAAATACAATGAGAATCGAGAAATGAATTTCAAGTATTAATGAATGGTGCAGCATGTGGCATCTTGGTAACAAGAAACTTCACATTGCATTTTTATCTATTATGCTTTTCAAGTTAAAAATTTTACTGAGTGCAAAACCATTCAGTAACAAGAAATTTTACATTAGATTGATTTCTACCATTTTTTTATTTAATCCAGAGCTGCTATTTTATCTAAGGGCTTCTTTATTATTTGCAGTTGAGTATTTTGGAAATTGGATTAAAATTGAGATGCAACGTTTAAATTTTACTGAATTGTAAGGAGTTTGTTTTTACTGAATGCAAAACCATTCTGTAAAAACAAACTTTGCATTTCCTTATTTATCCTTTAAATTTTGTTATGTAATCTGTGACATTAAATATACCAAATGACATTTCTGTGCTGTTACAGGTGTTTTAAAATTAAACAATGGCCAAGAAACAACCTTTAAATTAACAAGGGACTTGTTGGTCCATCTAGGCCATCCAATCCACTATACTGAACTCTAAAATAAAAGTAAAGCACTCAAAGCCAACCCCTATCAATCAAATATTTATCAAGCCTTCCTCTAAACTCCCTTACGTTAACTGCAGCATCTACCACATCTGAAGGCAACCCATTCCAAGGCCGACTTTCCCTTTTAGAAAAATATATCTTCTTATATGAAGATGGCTCCTTCCCTTCCAAAATTGATATTTGTGTTCCCTAGTCTTTCCATTCTCACCATTAAATACAAAAAAAATGTATCAACACTATCAATTCCCATGGATATCTTAAACAACTCAATCAAATTCCCTCTTACTCTTCTTTTTTAAAGAGAGAACAATTTTAAGAGCTCTTAACCTATCTTCATATGACAATCTTTCTATCCCAGATATCATCCTAGTAGACCTCCCCTGAACCCTTCCCAATAATTCAATATCCTTTCTGAGGTAAGGAGCTTAAGAATGAACATAGTACTCCAAATGTGGTCAAACCAATGGCCTATACAGTGACATTACAACCTCTTTAGATGTGTATTCAAACCTTTTGTAGGTACTACCTAAAATCCTATTTGTCCTACTAGTAGCAACAGTACATTGCTTGGATGGCTTAAGAAACTAATCAACCAGAACACCAAGGTTTTTTCTTCATATCACTGTTAACATTATTCCTGTCAATATTATGCTCATAATTCATTTTATAATATCCCAAATGCATTGCCTTGCATTTATTATAATTAAAACCCATGTGCTATTTATTTACCCAACTCTCTAAATTATTTAAATCTTTTTGTAAAGCAGCAGCATCCTTCTCACAGCCAGCAGTCCTCAAGAATTTAGTATCATCAGCAATTTTAAGTAATTTATTGGCCATTCCTTCACCTATGTCATTGATGTAACTCAAAAAAAAAGAGCAAAGATCCTTACCCTGAGCTCTGAGGTACCCCACTTGTGACATGAATCTGACTTGACTGAATTAGATTTATAACAACCCTCTGCTTTCTTCCATCCATCCAGTTTTCTATCCAATGAGACAACCTACCTACACACCTATGGAGATAATGTTTTTAACAAGCCTTTTATGTGGCATCTTCTCTTGCTTTTTGAAAATCCAGATACACCAAATCCACACCTTACTCTCATCTAAATAATAAACAACTTCTTCAAAGAGTGAAAAAAAAAAAATTAGTAAGGCAATATTTTCCCATGGTGAAACCATGCTGATGATATCAGACTTTCAGAAACTTTTCCCATCACAGATATAAGATTAATAGGCCTGTAAATACTGGAACGATTTTTATCACCTCCCTTGAAAAGAGGAGTAACATTAGCCAACTTCCAATCTTCTTGCACTTTCCCACTATTCATGGACTTAAAAAAAATAGTACCAAGTGTCTAAGGTATCCATTCTTTAACCTCCTTTAAAACCCTGGAGTAAATATTATCTGACCAGAACTTTTCCAATTTTTTCTTAACAAGATCAGAATTAATGCATTCATCTTATTTAATCTTGTTTTCATCTAGCAACAGTTCAAGATGGGGAATATTGCTTAAACCCTCATTAGTTGAAATTGAAGAAAAAGTAGAATTTAATAACGAAGTCATCAGATATTAGCATTCCTTTATTATCCTTCAAAGGGCCAATTATATTTCTAACATTTTGCTAACCTTTAATGTATTTATAGAAATCCTTACTATTCATTTTTACTTTTTCAGCTAAACTTTTTTTCATATAGTTTTTGATTTTCCAACTTCCATTTTGAGCAAATGTCTTGATCTTCTGTAATCCTTCAAATCTCCCATCATTGCAATCAATTTAAACATTTTATATTTATAATGCTTTTCTCTAATTTTATTATTTATACCTTTTGTGAGCCAAACAGGTTTTTTATTTGCAGCAACCATTTTTTCTTCTTTAAGGAATATGCCTATCTTGAATATTTATTAATTTATTCTTAAAAATTTTCCACATTTGATCAGTGTCTACAGTTAATTCAGTTTCCCAGTTCATATCAGATAATTCTTGTCTCATCTCTTCAAAATTTGTTGTTGTTTTTTTAAACTTGGAACAAAAATCTCATTATTCATTATCTACATATGCAGTAAAATATCCAATATAATTGAGCAATTATCAGTTATACTTAGATATTCCCCAATCTTCACTCTATCAACCATTTCTATGTTAGAAGTTAACAATAAATCGAAAATAGCATTGTTCTTAGTGGGTTTCCCTATCCATTTGAAAAGACTCATCCTAAACAGTTTCTAAAAACATGTATCCCTCATGATTTGACCCTAAAATTTCTCAGACTATATGTCTGAAATTAAAATCTTTCATAATTATAACTTCATTAACAGCTGAATTCTTCATTTCATTGTAGAGTTTCTTGTTAATTCCATCAGTTGCATCTGGTGGTCTGGTCTGTAACAGATTTCAACTAAAAGCTGTCTTCTATTATAACCACTCAAAGAAATCCAAATGTTTATTCTCTATTTATTTCTGGCAGAACTTAAATGAATTAATATACAGACATTTTAATTCTCATGAATTTCCCAGTCTCTTTATCTGAAGGTAAAAGAACCTTTATTAAGATGAAACAAGACTTTGATTGACTGTAATGGACAACAGAATGGACTACTTGTTTATTACGGTTTGTGAACAAGACATCACTGCCATTATTGAACCAAGTGACATTTAAGTTGGCAGATGAAAGCTAAGAAGTGATGTATAGCAGTCTTGGTCACTGATCTATATTACTGGACATGCTCATATTTCTTTTGTTTTATTTGTAGTCTTGGGGGCTTTGACTTTTTCTTTGGCAATACACTTTAAATAAAATTGCTTAGTTCTTATAATCTTTTCTAGCTGTACTGGTGTAGACATTAAGTTGTATAATCGTTAGTATTGTATAATAATTAGTTTTATGTTTGGGATGATTGCTATAAATTTAAGGTACCTATACGAGATTGTTGGAATGTAATAAATATCAACATCCAGCTTTCTGTATTTGGTTACTATAATTAAAACATTTAGAAATGATTTTTTTTTTCATGAGCAAATTGAATAATAAAATTTATTTTTATGGATTTGAAAAAAGTTTTCAAGATCATAGCAGAAAATCCAGACTATGAAACAGTCATACAGGTAACTTTTCCATGATGGTTGTAAATAGTTAATGCAGTATTTTCTAAGATAGTGTGGTAATGTGTCAAACATTTTCTCTTTGAAGTAATCTATTACAATTATGGCATATCTGAGAGCTATCTTTGCACCCATAGCTGTACCTAACATTTGATGGTAAATTTTATCATCCAAATCAAAGAAAAAGTTATTTATGACAAGATTTCAATTTTTTTATAATCAATGATATATTGAACCTCGAGTGCAAGAGGTCTATATATATATTTCTCTAGAACATATGTTACTGTTTTTAATCCAAAATAATATTTAAAACTGGGGAGTAGGGAAGTAACATCAAATGATGATAATCTGTGGTTTTTCTTGATCCTTTTCGGTAATTTTGCAGTGTAGTCTTTATTATCCTTGATGTTGGAAGGGACTTGAGATGAAAGGTTTAGGCAATATGTGTAGAATATTTTTAAGAGGCTTAGTAATCTTGTTAGTTCCACCAACAGTTGGTTGTCCTAATATTTTAGGTGTCAGGTTATTCAAAAACAGGTCTTCACATTTTAATTGCATTAAAGAATCTTGCAGAGCTTTGCATTTGTGTATTTTTGGTAAAACATAATGTCGTATGTCATTTTTACTCAAGATATATTCAAATTTTTTTATCATTTTGATTATCTCTCTACTTTTTTGTATAATCCATGAGTTTTTTGTATCTCATCAAGTATTTCATTTTTGTTTTTTATTCTGTGTTACTAGACCACTTTTTTTTATCTAAATGGTCAAAAGCCATTTGTTTTTGATATTATATATCAATAACTATAAAAATACTACCTTTGTCACTTTTCTGTATTGCAATATCTATATCGGTTCGTAAGTTTGTTAGAATGTCACTTTCTTCTTTAGTAACATTATCTTTAGAATCTTATGTAACTATGTACAGATTTACTCTCTTTGTTTCCACATAAAATATCTAATTATTTCTGCCTCTTGGGGCTCAGAGTTAGATTTTTGCTTAGCAAGATTTCTTTGGGATCAGCTTCAGAAAAATATTCTTCAAGTCTTAATATTATACAAAATTCATGAAGGTTTTGTTTGAATTCTGTTTTATGTCATAAGGTTTGTTATTTAGTACGTAAAGGCCCTTTTCAGTTATTTTGTTTCTGATATGATATCTTACCTCTACTCACAAAATAGCTTTTCTTGATTATTATACCCTCCATCAGCATTCAACACTCGCCACTAGCCTTCCACCTCTCACTTCTGCATGTCCACATATCAAGTACATTCAAACTTGAAGATGTCTGCTGATTCCATGAAACTATGTTATGATAAGAGATCTACTGTAGTCAGCTTTGTACCAGGAGACAAGGTGTGGTTGGATAATCCCAGGAAGACCAAAGGGAAGTCTCCTAAGTTGTCTTCTCCGTGGGAAGGCCCATATGACATAGTGGATCATCTCTCAGACTTGACTTTCCGAATAAAATGTGGTCGGTAAAGTAAGCCAAAGGTGGTGCATGCCAACAGGCTTTGCCGTTATCATGGTCCTGGACATTTCAGTTGGAACGAAGTGAACAACGGAACAAATGATGCTGCTGAAAAAGCCACAGTCGAAGAAGAAACTCCACCCGGTTTGAGAAGGAAAACAGTGAAGCCATTAATGAAGCTACTACCTCTAATGTGACTGCTAATGATAATGGGACATATTCTGATGGAGCAGATGAATCCCACATGAAGCAGAAGCCAATGAGACAGAGACGATTACGGAAGAAGATACGTCCTGTAAAATTAAGAGACTTTGTGCTAGTTCTCTCAGTGATAAAGAAGGAATCCAGAAAAGGCAAAAGAAACACATACACCCTAGTGTACTGGATAGAATATGCAAAGATCTGCTTAGGCCAAGTGTATCAGAAACAGGCCACAATTTATATGATAATATAGAGGAACAGATGAATTCCTGCATAAATGAGCCTCTTATTGACCATAAGAGTGACAAGCCTTTTGAGTGATGAAAGAAAGTCACTGGGCAGTTTCTGTGCTATCTTTTCTCTTGAGATCCAAGTGAATGCATTTTCTGTTAGGATTGTCAATGATGACAGAAGAATGTGCTTTGAGTGAGAGAGAATGTTGACAAACTTACACTTCTGCATTATAATATATAGTTTGTAAAATATAAATTTTAGACTTTAAAAAAATGTGTGTAAAATGTAGAAAAGGGCAAAAAGTTTCTTCCTATATTCAATGCTGAGCATGTTTATGGGAAAAAATCTCCTTTTATTTTTCATTATTTAGAAGAATAAAAACTTCTATAAATGAGTAAAAGGTATAGTTAAAGTTACTGTATTCTGTATGTCTTTTTCAGTTCATAATTTCAAGTTTATTAAAAATACCCACAATGAGGGATATATTAATTAATTTTTCTTACTTTCTGATTTTTAAATATCTGATTTCTTGATCCATATGGAAATATTAATGGAATTTCTTATAAGACAGCTTTGTCTGCTAGATTCAGTAAAAATTCTTAATGTGTTATTAATATGAGTTCCATATTTCTTTTTCAGTATACATACTGATATTGGCAAAAACCTGTATTGGTCAACTTTAGTTTTAAATACACGCGACTGAACATAGAAGCATTGAACTGACACAATGCAGGATAGAAAACTGTGGTATCTATTTTTTATCAATATTAAACCATTCTCTAACAATTAATAAGTGGCATACATGTATTTTGCAGGAGTTGGAAAGAGCAGCCTTCTCCTTAGATTTGCTGACAACACATTTTCAGGTGAATATTATATGAAAAAGTTATTTGCATTCTCTAACAATTAATAAGTGGCATACATGTATATTGCAGGAGTTGGAAAGAGCAGCCTTCTCCTTAGATTTGCTGACAACACATTTTCAGGTGAGTATTATATGAAAAAGTTATTTGCAAGAAAAACTATGTTTTATTTACTGAATCATAGTTCTGTTATATAAGATGCTATAATTTTGTTGAGAATCAAATTGTACAAAACCTTTGAAACACAACAACAGCTGAAGTTCATTCCAAAATGTAACTGGTAAATATTTTTACATTCTCTTCCACTAGTAGAACTTATCAAATTTTACTTTCAAAAGTTTCTAGACAAAATTCTTTAGGTGGTTATTTCTGTCCATGAAGTGTTTGATATAAATAATGAAAACTTAATGTAAATATCAGTGAGATTAGCAGAGAAATTCAAAAGAAAGCTGTCATACCTAATTTAATTAAATAAATAAACTTAAAAAACGAGATCTACTATTTTAGTTTTCCTTTCTTAATTTCTTTTTTAAATGCATCCAGTGATACATAAATATCAAGTTTGTTTATATATCTATGTTTTTAAGGAACTTATGTCACTAAAGTTTCTATCAGTAAGCGTAAATCTGTTTTTTACATCATCGTAATTTGCAGAAATAGGCAGTTCCGTTATAGTTCATCTTTCAAAAATATGATAATATATATATATTATTCTTTTAATTTATTTAGTAGCTGTCTGAAGTTCGAAAATTAGGTTTAAATACAAATTTAAAATTTCTTTTCTACTATATTCATGTAGTAACAAACTTTTAAGTGCTATAGCAAAAGTGTCAAGTACTAGAATGAGCCTTTTAGAAGAGAAGTATGAAATAAATAATGTAATTTTTATATTTTTGTTCTGAATTATATTTTACTCTTCTCATGTTAATGAAAAGCTTAGTATAAAGTTGTTTATACTCTGCTCTTGAAAACAATTTCACAAAAACATTAGATTACAAAAATTCTAGAGAATATTCTCTAAAGTTTTCTCATTTGGTTACGTGGAAGTAATCTATTAATATGAGACAAATGGACAGTTTGTTAGTATTGAGATGAGTGACAGATATTTAGAGAATACAAATGAATAGAAAATTAAAAAAAAGGTTACAAATTTGAAATTCTATAGATCTTAAAACATGGTAAGGCAACTGAAAAGTGTTGAATTAGACTTGATGTACATCCATTTTATTTATACTTAAAGACCTGTAGGTGTAGAGAAATATATAAAGGCTCACTTTTTATCAGATTGTATATCATTATGCTAAAACCCAGAAATAGAAATGAGAGCCCTTCTGTATGTAGTTTTATAGATAATATTTGCATCTTAATGTTTTATAGTGAGTGTTTTTTCTAACATCTTCTGTTAATGTATTTCTTTTAGGAAATTATATTACAACTATTGGAGTAGATTTCAAAATTAGAACCATTGAAGTGGAAGGAGAGCTGGTAAAGCTTCAGATCTGGGACACAGCGGGTCAAGAACGTTTTCGAACGATAACATCAACGTAAGTAGATTTCAATACTTTGGATCGTTTGTGACAGAAAAATAAGTGTTAAATAAAACCAGTCACCTACTATTAACAGAAATGTGATTTTGTTGTTTACTTTATGGGATTATTATATTCTTACTTGAACCAGAACTTGCATATTGATAAACATTTCTTTAGTATTTTTATCTTGTTCCAAACTTGCATGGTTTTAGTGAGTTTGATACCTTTTCACATATTTTTGTGTTTTTTTATTTTCAAAGAATGTAAAATAAACAGTTTCTCATCTCCAGAAAACAAGTCTTTTGTTCAGCATCCTTTGCTTTCATGGAGAAATAAAGTTGTGCATATATTTTAAACTTATTACAGAGCTAACACTGTTTGGTATGACATCTCTCATTGCACTTCGATTAATTTTTTTTTCTATATAACCTACTTGAAGTATCTAAAACTACAAAATGTAGATATGTCTTAAGTTATTGTATATAGACTGTTGGTTGAATTATGGGATACTGCACTAAGGCTTCAGTGTGAGTACAGAAGTATGAAAGTACCATGATTCAGTCTCTTGCTTTTGTTTGGCTCTCTTTTCCTGGTTTTCTTCAACTCTTGTGTTTCTGACTGACCCCAGTAGCCAGACAGTGGTCACAGAGAATAGAAGCTTGGCAGTTTAATAACATAAACACTATGGTGTAAACAAAATATTTTATGTTTTAGAGTGTTCACTCTTGTTTATTTTCTCTTGCATTGTTCAATTTATTTTGTGCTAAACAGTCCTGAATGTGCATTTTACAGATACTTTAGATTTTTTTTTATCAGGCATACCTGATTATCACACCCTTGACTTATTACAAATTCCAGTTTATTTCTGTAATATGTAATTTTGAGGCACATGCTGAGATTATACACATAGTTGAGTTTTTAAGGCTTTCACTAGTCCTAATTTATGAAAATTATTGTCTCACTGTTTACAAATAATTATTTCCAGAATTTCACCTCTTATTAACAATAAATATCCCTTTCAACTGTGTCAGCATAATTGTACTGTAGAATTTTTTATGTCATTATCAATATGAGTAAAAAGAGTATATAATAAGGTATCAACCATATTATATCTCGTGGTTCTAGTACCGATGAGATTTTTTGCCCTATATCGAGGCTCTTTAGGCTGACATAGGGATAAGATAGGCACAGTAGTGGTTGAAAAGCTATTTTTATAAGCAAATTACTCGACGGCAACTGTTATGGTATGAACTGAATTTTGAAGTGTAATTTTTTCATCTATTTTATGTATGTCACAAGACATCAGAATTATGGTAAAGATTATATAACACCATATTTTAACATATATACTAGTTATTTTATGTTATTAATTATTATTGGTTGAATTAACCTGTTCATTATTAAGAAGAACTGGTGAGCCAGCAAGTTAGTCTTCACGTCCCCACAGCTAGTCAAGTGATCACAGTATGAACAGAAGACTGTTTTTTAGTAATTGTTAATAGTCTTCTGAATGAAAGTAAAGAGGTGCATATGATATGACAACCACACTATATGTGATTTATCCAATGCCGATGAGACCTTTTGCCCAACAGGTTGGCTGGGATACAACAGACATAATAGTGGTTGAAATGCTATTCCTATTATATGTTACTAACAACCCATTAAATTTGTTTTTAATGATCAACAAAAATTCAGTATAAAATGTTTAATATACATTTGAATAATTTTTTTTAAAATTTAAAATACATCTGGCTGAAGGTAGACCTTTTGTATAATAATGTTAACCTAGAAGTGTTTTCTCGTAATTTGTCCATAACTTTCAATTTTTATAGTTAACACACGGGGTCTTGAACGTTATGATGAAAGACATTTGAAAAAAAAAAATATTTAAATTTATGTATGCTATTATTCATAAAAAAACAACAACAAAAAAACTACTAGTGAAGCATCAGTGTACCTATGGATTATTTAAGAATGTCACAACTTTGTCAATTGTTATTTTTTGTGGCTATTGTTTATATATCCCTCAGTTGTATCACATAAAATGCTGTGTTATTTTTTCAATTGAAATAATCTAATTTCCATGTAAATGTTAAAAAGAAATCATTATAAATGTTCCAGGTACTATCGAGGGACCCATGGTGTTATTGTTGTTTATGATGTTACTAATGGAGAGTCTTTTGCTAATGTAAAGAGATGGTTACATGAGATTGAACAAAACTGTGATGTAGTTAATAGAATCTTAGGTAAGATCATCTTTCATTTTATTTTGAAATATTTTTATACAATTTTGGGGTTCTGGCATAACACATAACAACAAAAAAAAGTATAGTTTTTATGTATAACAGAATAGAAGGTCACTGGTTCAGCCATGTTTGGAGTACTATGTTCAGTCTTGGACTCCTTACCTTAGGAAGGCCATTGAATTGTTGAAAGGGTTGAGAAGAGGGCTATTACAATAACACTTATTTTATGTACCACACAAGTTAGAAGATTGGGAAAGTCATTTTCTGTTATCTGGGGTTTGTGTTTTTAAATCTTTATTTCACTATGAAATTGTAGTTTTGCAAGTATTGAAAAGGTCTTGAGTTACAATCAGATTTCTGTAAACAAGATGAAAATATTACCCTTTAGTCAATAATTACAAAAAGTAACAAACATTTGTTTCATTTGGGTAAAGAAATGATGAAAACCACAATAATTTTAATATAATTAAAACATATATTAATTTGGCTACATTTAAACAAGTCTGTATTTCTGGACTTGTTGTTTGGAATTATGAGGACATGATGATCAAAAAGAAGGGCCATGCTCAACCAAACCAGATAGCTGAACATCAAATTTGAACCAGTAGTGCATGATTTATGTTCTGGGTGAAGAGCATACCTGTTTTGGATGTAATGCGATTCTCCCAGTAGGGTGCTAATTTTCTATTGGCATGACCACAATCTATGCAAATGCATTTTGTTTGGATGATGTCCTCACGGGCTCCTCCATCTTATGAATGTGGGATTCTAGCTGTAGTGTGAGTGAAGGTAAGTATGTTTTGGAAGTTAACATTTTCTTAAATCTAAAATGTATTTCCAATAATACTTACCTCCTCTTAAACTCTCCCACCCTTCCTTCCTCCCCACTAAGAGCTGGTGATAGAGGCTGTGGATTGGGTCAGTCTCAAAAAAGTGACAATATTATCTGAAAGTGGTGCTTATATACAGTATGAAGATAGAGGGTGCATTGACGTAGATGGAGAGTGCCATGAGACAGGTAATAGCTGTAGTGTGAGTGGAGGTAAGTATTATTGAAAATACATTTTTGGCTGAAGAAAATGTTAACATTGATCATGGGTATATTGATACTCGACAGTAAGAATCTCCAAATTTTTTATTCTTGAATGAGTACTGATAGTAGTGCCTTCTAGGTTTTACTAGCAAAACTGTAATACTAACCAGCAGTTTGCTAGGATTATTATAATTGGAAGTAGGAATATCACTTATTATTAAAAAATAGTGGGGAAGTTTACATCAAAGTAAATTCAAATATAAAGGATTTGAAAAAAATGTTTTGATGGGATGAACAGAAGAACTGTGGATAAATGTTCAGAAATTGCCTATTAGAAAGGTTTAAAATTACCGAGATATCATTGCATACATATTTAATTAACTAACCATTTACACGTGTGCAGATAGCCATGCTGCTTTGTGCCAATACCCCCCCCCCCAAAAAAAAATCAATTACATGTATGATGCTGATATGGCACGTCATTTGGTAAATAAAAGCAGTCACTAAGTTCATTGTGCTGGATATGAGTAAGGATTTAAAGTACAATGTTACCCCCCCTTTTTTTTTTAAGCAGAAAAGTTTTCCTGATAACAAAAATAATTGGTAAATTAATTCCAATTTATATTGTAAATTTGTTTGATTTGCATTTTGATGTACAAAACCATTGGAAAAATTACTTGTAATTTACAGTTGGAAACAAGAATGACGACCCTGATAGGAAGGTAGTGTTAACTGAAGATTCTCAACGATTTGCCGACCAGATGGGAATCCAGCTCTTTGAGACAAGTGCCAAGGAGAATATCAATGTTGAAAAAGTAAGAAGTTGAATTCTGTTATCATCCAAAATGGCAGGTTTTTCTTTGTAGAGATTTAAAATAAATTTTATTTTTATTGCAATACAATCTAAAGAGAGAAACTACAATTATACACCTATAATTTTGATCATTTTTTGAGTCTAACATTATTCTAGGTGTGATTTGGGTTTCATGACAAGTTGGAAAAATAGTAAAACATTAGTAAGAATAAAAGATTTCTCCTTTTTTTTTCTTCATTGTTTAATTATTCTTAGCTTCTAATTGATTGTATTTCCTAAAGCAGGAAATTTTTGTTTATAATTTTTTTTTTTGCTACTTAACCATTTTTTTTTACTGACATTTTTTATTCTTTCATATATCACATTTATTATGTTATAAATGTTATAAAGCCCTAACTAGAAATGGTTAATCACATATAACCTTGGTGAATAACATGCCATTTTGCTAGTGGTGAGTTTTATTTCTCAAATCAAGCACCACCAAGTGTGTATGTAAATTAATGAAATTTGGATTGATTTTTGTGCATACATATATTTCTCCATGTTTGAAAAACAAAATTTAATATATATATTTTTCAGATAATTCTGAAAATATGATTTCCTTAATTAAGTTTTGTATTAATTTATTAATAGCCTATACAGTCATCTACATGGAAGTCAATTAATTATTTGGGTACTTTTGTTTTAATTACCTAATCATTATTAACCAATTTAATCCTACATTTTAGGTGTTAATTTGTCATTATCTCCAAAGAAGTCTTGAGAAGGACTGTACTTATCATGGTACAAGATATTATCTTGGTCACAACCACTGCAAGTACAGTTCTTTTCAGGACTTTCCTGAAGATGGCTGCAGGTTAGTAGCCAAAACATAGGACTAAACTAATTACCATCTAGTTTAAAAAATTAATAATAAAATATCTGGGGGAACATGTACACTATTAGCCATGATATTGATTGATAATTTATTGCTACAATCTTACTGTAACTAATTAATAAGTTGGAAGACCAGTATTCCAATTGTTAACGAGCAGTAAAAACATTTACGCCCAAATAATACATGCATTTAAAAAAAATTTCATACTGCTTTTGGTAAGATGTAATATATTATTCATTATAAAGTATTACACGTTTCATTTTTGTCTTTATTATCTTTCCTTTCCTCTTGTACAAACTCTTAAGAAAAAAATAAACTATGAAATTTGTTAACTGTGAACTCTAATTATCTGTAACAAAATTGTTGATTTGTTTGAATTACTAATGGTTACATTCACTTTTTTACATTAATTAATGTGCATCCTTGTGTCCTAAAAATGATAGCATTATGATTATTACTGTTATATTAAAGCATGTTTTTATGCAGACCATGCTGTGAATTCTTCACCAACTGACTATCATATTAATAATGCTTTGAGACGGCTTGAATGGGTAATGAAGAAAAACTCTAATATAAGTTTAACATAACAGCAAATGTACAACGTTTCAACAAGATTTT